TTGTGTCAATGATATAAACGATTATCAATTTATATAACATAGTTTGTATTGTCTACATTGTAGCAATCTGTGTTACTCAGTTTTACTGTCTAGATTGTAGTAGTTTATTTCTCATAGTTATACTGTTCTAGATTGTGCAACCTTTTAAATACAGTTTTTGGTATATAGATTGTAGCAGCCTACTTAACACAGTTTTTATTGTATAGGCTTTAACTACCGCTTTCTATTTTGCTGTCCTTGAGGTCAGTGGCAACTTCTGTTGGATATATGTTTCTGAAAACAAGTGTTTCTCATATTTGCACTCAGGATGATTCATTACATCAGACTTTGGATACATTAGTTTTTTTATAATAACTTAGAGGCATCTTATAACTTATTCAACTTGATTTCATGAAGCTAATGTGTCTCATCACCAACGAACAAGGTCACGTACCGACTTAACTAGATAAATTTTATGAAACAGTATAATCAAATATAACAACTCAACTGCAACATGGAAATTGTAAGCACTACTAAAGTAAAAAAATGCCACCATTTTCACCAATCTCACACCCCTCAAAGACGCATTTTATAAGCATTTTAGTACGGCAGATTTAACTATATTAAAAGAAAAACACATGCTTACATTATAGCTTGTGTATTATTCACTGTCAATAAAGTCGACACGGTCATTTCTAGATTGGAATAAAAATAAACAGATAGTGGCTTTGTTTAATAAATAAACAGATAGTGGCTTTATTTAGTAGTTTTATATTTCTTATGAGGAATGCACATAAAACTTAGAAAATATATTTTTTTTATTGTAAGTAGTTCACAATAGATAATTAGGAATAAGATAATATACGTATATTTCCTGCTGTGCCGATCGCAGCCGTGTCGCGAACGTGCCGAACTGTGTATCTAACTTTCATTTATATTAAACATTTAGTAGTGTATAATGTCAAGGATAACGATGGAATTTTCCATGGTGTTCAGGCCGATTTTTCAATATGTGAGCTTTAAAATTCACTTTTAAGAAAATTAGCTTAAAATTGTTCCAGAATGTTGACTGATGTTGAATTTTTTGTGTGATTATAAAACAGATATTTTTTTTTGAAAAAGCAAAGTTTAACTTCATTATAGTTATAAAACATACACTAAACATGTTTGTAAAATGGCTTGGAGAGTTTTGATTTTTATTTTAAGTAAAAAGCATTCCATTATTGTATCATTAGGATATATAGCCTAATATCGACTCTCTAAGGTTCAATTTGCGCTATATCTATTTTATTAAAATGAATATCTGAATTATTATTATCAATATTTCATTTGATTGGATTGTACAAGAGATGAACGATGTTATATTACATTCAGATCAATTTACTGATGATGAGATGATTTGTGTAAAATATATATGTATGTATGCATACATTTGACCAGAAAAAAATATATAAATGAAGTAGAAGCATTAAAAGACAACGCTGTAATAAATTATCTTTGCTTATATGGAATATCTTTAATTTATGTCGAACGAAGAATAATGTTCTACAGAATACAACCGAAGACATTTCTAGCTTAGTTGGTTAACTGAATTAACGTCACTTGAGTTCTTATACGTGTTTATATAGTTAATAAACTTCACATACATATTTTTTCTTAGTTGACACATATTTATACTGTTTGCTGAATCTCCCACATAGCTATACAAGGGATATCTGTGCTAGCCGTTCATATATTGGAAGTGATATACAATGAAGAATGCAACTAGTCAACAATTCCCATCTCCACTTCTTGGGATACACTTGTCAGATCAAATAGTGGGATCCGACCGTGTTACGATCGTGCTATACGCGCACTTCACTTGCCTTTCTTATGTCCATAAACTTTATTCAGATAGTACTTATTCGTATCATGAACTGACTCATGTCACTGTAAACATAGAAAATTGCTGTTTATTACTGGTAATCAATAACACATATATTTAGAAATAAGGTTTTTTGTCCCCCTTCTGGCAGCAAAACTTTCTTCCTTCACCTCCCTCGGCTTATTCGTTCTCCTTCACATCTCCCGGTTTTTTCTATTTTTTTTTCGATGAACTTTTGTCTTTTATATCCCTATCTTAAACCCACGCCGAACCAGTCTCTTTATTTGTGATCTTGCCTGTTTACAGTATATCATATTATAACGTTTCATAACTATAAGGGTCTTGAAGCTTTAATACCGGCTGAACTTAGAAAAGTGGCCGCTATACTTGCTCACTCTGATAATTTTCTTATGACCTTCTTCTTCTTCTTAGTTTCTGTCGTTCCTAGTGGAAGTGTTGTTGCAGTTTCTGTAGCAGATTTGTTATCGGGGTGGAGTTGCTAGCCCCACGCCCAAGTGGGCATGTTTGATGCGACAAGGACGCGAACCCGCGACCCTCGGATAGCAGACCATCATTCCTATAATGCATCCATGGCCACAAAAGTGTGGATCACGACTTTTTTTTTGGCGGGGGAGTGGGGGGGGGGCAATAATATGGCTCAAGGCACGGAACCTCGGATCCACGTTTCCGCACACTAACCATCAGGCCACACTGGGACGTGCTTATACTTATGTCTAATAAGGAATAAAACGCGTGACTCGTCTAGAACATTACTTAGTTTATTACACAACAAAAACACTTAATATGCTAGCTTGTGTAGTACTGTATTTACACAAACAAGAAGGGTCGAAAAGTGGGTATATTTGAAGCGGATTAAGAGTTGAGGTCTAATTTTAGATTTAAATTAAAAAGATGTAACCTCATTTTTTTCCATGATTATTTCATCCTGTTTTCTTTTTGTTTTTACTTTTCATTTCTGTAAACTACCTTATTTATTACTTGCAGAAAGTTAGGTGTAAATTCTGATAACGTTGGGAAAAATAAATATAGGATAAAGATTTCGAAATTAGATGTTGTCAGTTTTCTCCTGGTAAAACTTTGTCTGCTGATCTCCTTGGGAAAATCCTGTCATGTACGCTGCCGTTAGCATTTTGTTACAGTTGTTTGTGTCTTATATTTATTTCCAAATTATGTTTTGTGTTTTACTGAGAATATTTTCAACCTAAATAGCACCTTATTCGACACACTCACTAAATGACCAGAGCATAGAGACCTCTAAATTTCAGGCCTAACCTGCATAACTTAAAGCTGATCATTAGTGGTATGACAATCATCATCCGAGTCTATTGCGTGCGTGACTACTTTGAACACAATTGTTGGATTGTCTGATCTGGATATAACGCTAAAAATCGGGTTTCAATACACGTGGTAGGCACAGCACATATAGCCCATTGTGTAGCTTTTGCTTAATAAGAACCAAACAAATATTTATAGCACATTCGCATCGGAAAGTACAATATTGTTTAGTGGCATAATGCAGCTCTAACCTCGGGCTTTCCAATCCGCAGTGCGGTACGCTAACCACTATGACCTTATTTTAATTATATTAATTATATATCATTGATAAAGTTAATTCATAATATTAAAATCACAGCGCTATAATCATTATAAAATGCCTAGATTATTAGTCCAGTCCCATTTCCAGGAAATCAGACTTTTCAATGTATTTTTCATTAGCATATGGTATACTATGGTATTTTTAGATAATATGGATAATATGAAGCGCTATTTTAGATTTTTGAAACAGAAGTTGACAAGAAACGAAATGACTTCCAAACACACCCAAGTCGCTGTTAATTCTTATCTACTCAAGATAGAAAGATGAGCTAAGGCTCTTTCGGAGATTTTAGGAAGCCAGAAATTCGGTAAAAGCAAAATAAAATGTGCAAGAATAAGCATTTAAGGCATTTTTTTTCAAAATTATTAAGTTTATGTTACATTTAGAAGATATGAGTAAAGTAGTGTAGTAGTCAACCCAAGTCCCACCTACAGCAGTATAACAGGTGACCTAAGGTAATTAACCTTAAGTTATGGACCAAGTATAGAATGAATGAACCTATGAGTTTTTGAGCATTAAATCCCCTGGAACGAGCAGTTCCTCAAAGAAAACGAATCAGTTGTTAGTCTTAAGAGACCATTCCTTATTGTGTAATCGGCATGAATCAAGATGAAAGAAAGTACAAGCTTATTATTGGTGGGCCACAGACATTCAAATTACACGAAAGCGCTAATAAGAGACATAGGATGTGAAACATAAGAAACAGAGAAAGGGTTTTAATATGACTTTTGATCAGATGAGCCTCTTATGTAGCACAAGTCATGTTATTAATAGTTCACAAATACAGACAAAATTGATAGATTAGAATCATCTGCTGTCACTAATCCAGTAACAACCTATGGCTCTGGCAGTAGACCATTAAACTGTCCATGTTCATCAAAGCCAATAGATTGGAAACTGTAAATGTTATATTAGAAGCTTACGAAAGATAGTCTAAGCACAGCAGTTTTTGCATATTGATATGAATTTAATACCTTGAACCTAAATACTGGATATAGACTGAGTATCCTAAGCTGATATATTCGGAACCTAATATATCATAATATAAAAAAATAAGTGGCACCTGGTATTAAGAAGACCACGATCTTTGGTAACGGATCTTAAAGCGTTAACCTGACTTAAAGTTTTATTCACGGCTACAACACGTAACTGTGTTTAAAATAACTTATTTTTTATATTAAAAAAGAAAAAAAACACTACGTGTCGCTAGGCTCACCTAGTATCGTCTGGAAGATATATTTGAAAAACGGAACAAAGACGATACGAGTTGCAGCACCAACAGTGATACTATATCGCTGAACAATGAACTAAAAAGTCAAACACGATTTTTAAAAAGCGAAAAATTAAAATAATATAATTTTATACGTGGATATTGGTTGATGCTAGATTTTTGTTTTTAAGAAGAGATTCTTTGATTTTTCTTCTATATATATTATTTTCCAATGATTTTAACACCCCAAAAAATAAATAAATTATTATTTTGATTCACCTGCTCAAATACGATGAAATGGACTTTTAAACGTTCTTTTAATTTTATAGATGCTTGTCGGCAGGTTTCTATCGACTCGTAATTTGACACAAGGGGCCTAAGATGTCTTTGTCAACAAATTTGGGTAATACAATTTGATCTAAATTTCACACCTCTATCCACGTTGTATTTTTAATTATTTTTAAAAAGTCTTTTAGATAGCACGAGAAAGTTTAGTGATATGTGGTACAGCACAATAAAAATATATTGTTGTTTTTTCTAAATCGTAGGTTGTAGCTTCAGGTTATGATTCATTTCTTCGGGATGATAAAGTTTATTTATGTGCGTGAGAGGATTCTTGTTTATCAAAATAGGTTGTGATAGTAACATATTTATTTCTGTTGGAAAAGTCTATTGAGAGGAACAAATATCTTCATCTGTATGAAAAAGGGGTCTTTATAATCCCTAATTTTTCCAAAGGATCGTGGAAAGAATTCCAAAAAATATAAATTCCCTAATGTGTGTCTTTACGAAAACTAGTAATATGAAATCATCTTTCACTTTTGTAATCAAAACTTAAAAAGATAAATTTTTTCAAGAATTTAATTTCCAACTATAAGCATGATGTTGTGGCGAAATTCATTCAAATGTGAAAGAAAACTATCAATATATAAGCAAGTTTCATAATGGATCCAAAAATTGGAGGGTGAAAAGTAAATAGTAATTTCTTCACTTCTAACTATAAATAAATTGGCTAAAAACATACATATCGTCAATCTGGTCATAATGGACATTCTGAAAATCTGTACGAAAAGCGGAAATGAAAAAAAAAAAGTTTTGATTTGGAATTGGAGTCATTTTAAAAACAAGCTCAGTGAATTGTTTCTTTAACAGGCACTTGTGTAAATAGATTATTTTTGGAACCAATGCTAACCATAAAGAAGCTCGGGTCAGAATATTTTAGTTTTGTGACGAAATATTCAGATTTTTTAACAAAAGAAGAAGCTTTAGTGACATGAAGAGTAAATGCCCAAATCAGGTAACTGTAATACTTTAAAAGTTATGGCTTAAACAACAAAAGCATATATCAATAGCATTTAAGAGAAAACTATGTCTCTCATCTTCCTGCCTAACTGATGAACTCTGGTACTGGGCGAAGGCTTCTTGAGCAAACTTGAGAAAGACAAAAGATAGATCTGAAATGTTAAACTAAATGTGTCTGATGTTGTATCCGTGATGGACCAATCAAGAGGAATGTGGTAAATTCTAATTACCTGTTTTGATAAATATCAACCAATTCTAATAAAAAATGCCTAAATTTGATCAATACCGAATGTAAAAAACTGCTTTCTCTACATTTCTGTTGATTGTGTTACAAATTCTGATGGGTCGTTTAGGAAATTTTGGTAACTTGATCATACATAATTAACCCATTTAACATCGTATAAGTTCGAATAACACTAGTTTCGAAGTTAACATCAAATGTGTATTTAAAAATTTAGATTTTTTTTAGCTAGAACCAAATTATAATTCTACTTGTTCAATGTGTTGATAATATGGGAAACAATTCTCAGGTCATATTTTCTAACTGGATTCGTACAGATAGCTAGATAGTGTATATATATATATATATATATATTTATTTATTTAGACGTGATGCGCAATTTTCTTAAATATAATAATATTCATACCTATTAAATTAAATAATAGGTCGATACTTGTGCATTTATATAATTTGACTTATTTTCCGGATTTAAATTATGACGTAGAGGATAAAAAAAATGAACTTTAAGTTTATACAGCTAGTCCGTGTTCCGGAAATGTCAGACTCTGAGATCAGCTCATTAGAGACGAGAAAATGAATCTTGCCATAATCTCCACTCCACCCCAACTTCCTTCATAATTGGGCGACATAATAATAATCAATGTTGATGTTCTTGAAGATCTCTCTGACATTTAATGTCTGCTTTCCTAAGTTATACTTTGATTGACGCATTAAGTTCGCTTACAAAGATTATAAGTCGATTAAATGTTAATAAGAAAGAATAAGTATTTAAAGGAAAATGTTTACAAAAAGCTCCTTTTCTCGAAACAGTGGTTTTATTTTAATAATTTCTAATAGAAAATTACTAAGACTAACAAAATAAGAGTTTTTAATTGTTTGTTTGTTTTAGTGCAAAGTAACACGAAGAGTTATCTGTTCTTTGTACAACGCGGGGAATCAAACCCTGGATTTTAGTGATTTAAGCCAGTAAACTTATCGCTGAGTCATTGGGGGCAAGTTTTTAATATATGTGAATTTTAGATTGGGGAGATTTAGACCGTTTATATACCACCATTCACCAATCATACACTAACAAATACCACCATTCATCAATCATAAACCAACAAATACCACCATTCGTCAATCATACACAAACAAATACCACCATTCACCAATCATACACTAACAAATACCACCATTCATCAATCATAAACCAACAAATACCACCATTCATCAATCATAAACCAACAAATACCACCATTCACCAATCATACACCAACAAATACCACCATTCATCAATCATACACCAACAAATACCACCATTCACCAATCATAAACCAACAAATACCACCATTCACCAATCATACACCAACAAATACCACTATTCATCAATCATACACCAACAAATACCACCATTCACCAATCATACACCAACAAAAATCACCATTCACCAATCATACACTAACAACTACTACCATTCATCAATTATAAACCAACAAATACCACCATCAATCATACACTAACAAATACCACCATTCACCAATCATACACCAACAAATACAACCATTCATCAATCATACACCAACAAATACCACCATTCACCAATCATACACCAACAAATACCACCATTCACCAATCAGTAACAAACCCGTAATTACAATCCATATTTTATGTAAACACACATAAATAACTGACACAATTAGTTGTATAGGAATATAATAATAAAAATAGTTATTAGGCATTTTCTAGCACTTATGAGTCAAAATTCATATAAAATAAAAATAATGTCAACAACTTTCACATACAAATGCCAACAAATAATCGATATGGCGTAGATGTTAACATTAGCCATAGAGATAAGAACAATAATCAGTTACATTTATCTGATATATTTAAATAATAAATACAGCCATATTAATGTCTGCCACACGCGTGAAATATTTTACAACATATTGCAAAACAAACTAGTCCCATGCACACTATGCATGTCATCAGCCACCATCGATGTCTACCTCATCTTTTTCTCGAACACTGTTTGACATTCGAAATGTTTTTCAGCTAGGAAATATAATGGCAAGTTTCGTGATCCCATCAGAACGATAAATGTAAACTCATCTTTGAGACTATCTTAATAATAATAATAATTTTGCACCCTGTTCTGCTTCTAAGAAAGATACTTGTTTGTTTACTTTTTTTTATAAGATGGCGTACGTGGGTTACTAGGTTCTAGAGTGTATTCTAAAGCTATATAAATGTTACACAGAATAATAAGAAAATAGGTAGTCAAAGATCGTGAAGACTGTTTTGCCCTATCAAATGATGATAAAATTATAGTCACTGCTAGAACTAGGTAAGCTCTACGTCTGCCTGTTGATGAAAAATAATGATGAACGAAAAAAAGAAATCTCAGTTTTGGCTATTCGCCGGTTTTCGATTTTGGGACGCTCTGGATAGCTGAAAAGCGGTATATACACTGGAGATAGAGCAACTATGCCAGGTAGTTCTTCATATCTAGCTTCTGATGACCCAGATATGTATTGATTTTTTTTATTCCATACATAACCTAGGGGTTGGCCCTAACGACACCGATTGTATAACGAACAAAGTATTGAGTATTCTATATGTTACATTCAGCTAATACTCATCTATCACACAGGACTGCGAATTTAAACTTCATAAAAATTGTTTTGGTTTTAATAACGGATTTCCTATAATTCAGCTACTCAGATTTCGAAAACAATATTTTTTTTTTATCACGTAAGGATTTTTTTTTTAATCGGGAAGAA